ATGCACAAAGTCTCAGGGCAGCAGTTTGCAGCCTGCATCTGGAAAGTCCCCTGAAGTCTGCAGACTGATCTATTCCATGGCTGGATTGTCACAGCAATGTCTTCAATGACTGGGTTATCTGGACATCAATGATCTGTTGCTTTATTTTTACCTGCCCACCCTGCAAGAGATTATCAGACCACTGACCTATGTGATGCAGCTCATGGTCATGACTGGGGGCTAGGGCAGTTGAAGAAAAGCATTAGAAACCTTGGAGCAGACCGGAATGACTCACAATCCAGTTTCCTTCTGTTGGTGACTATAATCTTGCTTCTGCCACAGTTTCCAGGGCATGTCTTTCGTACTCAAACCCAGATTCTTTTATAATCCAGAATACCTATTGTACTTTAAATAGGAAAGCAACTGACATATTTGACTGCTGTATTTTTTCCCTTCTATGAATAATGCAAAGCATGTGTACACACCTACATGCATCCTCAGGATGCATTTCTTTTGGTAAGGCTTGTGTACACCTGCAGACAGTGGTGCCATTACAGCTCCAGAGGTTCAGCTGAAGTTCTCCAGCATGTGCCGTGTAGCAAGGGAATATGGTGGACTTTGTGAAGTGTAAATGACCTAATAAAATCTGCTGTTCATACTGCATGTTTTTAGATTCCAGTAGATACCAAACCACAGACAGGAAATCATGATTTATGCTTACTTGCCCCAGTCCAGCAGGGAATCCTTGGAAAAAGGCAGATTGGCTTTTATTTCAGAATGTGTAATGGGCAGAGAAGCTGCAGTAGGTGCCAGGTGAGGGATGACTTCCATCTGAGTTCTTCAGTGGCACTTCTCACTGTAACAATCCAGCAATTTACAGACCATTTGGTTCATCTCATGTCTGATGTGTGTTCTTATTGTCACTTGGGAAACTGAGATCCTGACAGGGTGGATGATGGAAGTGGGGTTTTCCAGTGGTCTCCCACCTACTTCTCTTATAGTGAGGTTACCTGTTGTTGGTTGTCCCTTCTCATGTACTTGATGCTGATAACCCACAAGAACCTAATTTTCTGCTTCTGTTGCTGTCAGATTTACTTCTTAGGGGAATGCCCCAGCCATCAGGCCCAAGTCATGTGCATGCTTTTTCTTTCTTTTGTACTTGTCAGCTACCTTCAGAGACTGTCTCATTTCCTCTAAATCTGACTGTTCTTGCTGCAGCTTCATGGTTTTAGGAATGTAGTGAGGACTCAGCTGATGTGGCTTCAGGTGCCTGGGAGCATTTTTAGTTACTGTTTTGCCTGTCCTGCAGAAAGCAAAACTGAACTGCCTGTGTGGGTGGGATCTTGGCTTCATTGAGCTAAGATCTCCTGTGGGCTTTGCAGCCAGGATTTTGACCTCTTGTCTTTTGAAATGGTATTTGTTTTTGAGAGCTTTCTGCAATAGCAGTATGGCTGAAATCCATTTTTAGGAACCAGCATGGCTAGAGATAAGAGTAACAGTAGAGCTTTAAGCTCTCCTCTGTCTTGGCATTCCCATGTGCCCCAGCCAGGTTTGAAGGATGTCTCTCCGGACAAGAGCAGTAGTCTGTATTTGTGACTTACTGGCTATTGGAAGCATGAGTAAGGAAATCTCTATGTAGAGTCCAACTATGAAAATTGTTGTGATAATTTGCTGAATTCACTAACTCCTAAGAGAAATTTTCTTAAAGTATTTTGCCACAGTGAATGATCTGTGAACAACCGTGGAGGCAGGAGGAGAATAGGATCTCTCTGTTTTCAGATGACCACCCTGCCTATGGGACCTAGTTGGTGCATGTACCTTCTCTCCCCCTTTCCTACCACCCCATTATTGCTTCAACTTTCGAGGCAAAAAGAATCTGGAAAGTCCTTTCTCCACGAATAGAACAGCAGTTACAGCAGTGATCATGGGACTTCCCTTGCATGTGTGGTTTATGAACCAAATAAAATACAACGGCAGGAGGAAGCTGAGCCCTTATCTGCTACTTCCTGAGCAAGTGTACTCAGCTGTTGGATGGAGGTGCTGTAGTAACGAGGAACCTTTTTTTTGTGTGAGGTATGGCCTGAACATCTAACTGGAATCCTGCAGAGAAGGGAATATCTAGGAGCAGTTCCCCTTGCCTTAGCATTTCTTCCTTTTTGGCAGGCCCCTGGTTTGATGCACTTCAAGTCTGGATCCCTCTTGGCAGGTGCCCAGCTCCTCACCTCTGAATCAGGTAGCATGTGGAATTAATTTAGTTGTGGAATATGTCCTGTGGAGCTTGTTGCAGCTTTGTGTTGAGTGGCATTGCTTTTCTGGCATCCTTCTCTGTTTGTACTTGGTACTGCAGATGGTCCATTGATTCATGTAACTTTATCCTTTAATTAGCACTGTGGAGTTAACCTGCTTTGGGTTGATACAGACAAGACTTTGAGTGTGTGGTTGTTAGGGACCCTGCAGATTGGGGATGCTACAGTGTGGCATCTGGGTTTAGTTTACAGCTTTTTCTAAGCCACCCTTGAACAAAGACAGGCTTTATTAGAGTGTCTGCCAGGCTGCTTTACCAGAGGAGGGCTGCTGCACATCATCTCTGAATACCCAGTTGGATTGTATCTGCTGCTCGAGCTCTTTCAAAGAATTTTAACATGAGCTGTCCTCGAAGTACCTGCAGAAAAACTGGTTTGACTTGTTTGCTATCATCAGAGGGGGCTAACTGTGTTTTCTAATAATTTTCCTTGTTCTCTTTACAGTCATAACTTGTTGTTGCCTGCAAGCCCGGAACCCTTTTTGAGGGGGGAGATAGAGCAGGGTCCGACTGCTTCCCTTTTGCTCAACTATTGCTGGCAGTAGCACAGAACATGTTAACTGGCATGGTTTCATTTAAGTTTAATGTTCTCTAGAGCTCATTTCCCTATGTTTTCTTGGGAAAATATTTCCCCTTTCTGCTGGCCTTCTTGCAGTTTGATATTCCAGTCTCAGCCCATGTTCATATCTCCTTTGACTTGGCTCCTTTAGATGATGTAATTAAGGAGGACCTGGGGAGGTTCTGTGTTTTCTCTTTATGCTGAGATTAGATAGTGCTGGTAAGTCCCATATTTCCCTTTGTCCTGCAGTGAGGAAGTGTCCTTGTTGTTGCTTGTTTTTGCACACAGATATGTTTTATTTTTGAAATAAGTGATGCCTGAAAGTTACAGAAACATTGGCCATCAGAGCTTTCATGCATGCTTTATGATGCATCTGTCTTGGCATCTATGGAAGTAATATAAATCCTGACCACGTGTCAGTAAAGCTTTTGAATTTGGCTGAGCACTTGAGTGGGCAAATAGCATCATCCAGCAAATGGAGTGTGTGATTGAGATGCAGCAGGCATTGCATGCATTTGTGGTTTTGCTCATGACATTGGCCATCAGAGCTTTCATGCATGCTTTATGATGCATCTGTCTTGGCATCTATGGAAGTAATATAAATCCTGACCACGTGTCAGTAAAGCTTTTGAATTTGGCTGAGCACTTGAGTGGGCAAATAGCATCATCCAGCAAATGGAGTGTGTGATTGAGATGCAGCAGGCATTGCATGCATTTGTGGTTTTGCTCATGACCTATGATTTTTTTCTTTCCCCCTCAGTGCAAAGAGGATAGTGAACTATCATTCTCCATATAGAGTGCCTTGGGATATGTAATTTTTTCTGTTCCTTAATCAAAAGCAGTCAAAATACTTGATCTTATTTTCATTTTACCCAACTGGAGTACTCCTGTGGAGTCTAATGGAAATAGAACCAGACTAGCATCTTTTGCAGGATCAAAATCCTAGAAAGCTTGGCCTGTCTTTACAACTTCCAGTTAAACATTCAATAAATAATGTGTGCAAAGCGAGTTCAGGGTATGCACTCAGTGCTAAGCTGTGCTACTTGCAAATTGTTAAGCATCATAATATACAGGGCATCTAGCCAGTCTCTGATTCCTGCTTTCACAGGTTCAAAATCAACCAAACAAAAAGTTGGTATGTTGTGGAAACAGAACAACAGTGCATCATTCAGTTGCCTTGTTTAATACAGTCCCTGCTGTGTTAATTCCCCTTTAATCCTTTCTTTAAACACAATTGATTGTGTCTCATTTGCGGCAAGTTACGTTCTGAATAAACACTCCACTATCCTCTATGTTTTAAAAAGCTTTTTATTTAACATAACTTCAGTGATCTATGAAAGGTATGGCTAATTATGCCTGCCTTTCAGATTAGCATTGTCAATTTTGGCTAATTTGCATCTATCGGTATCTTTCCCGTGTGTAATGCTTCCCTGTTGTACTAGTAAAAGAAGGATAAAGTGTGTGTAGTCCAATGAATTCACAATCCCTAGTAAGGGATTTTGATTATATTAATCTCTAATAGCCTTAAGAAAGGAACAGCTCACGTGACAACATCTTCCTATTGCCAACTGGTACGTGTTGATATCAATGACAAGAGCCAAGTACAGGGTACTTACTACCTGTTTATAGCCAAAGCTGCAGTGTTCAGTCTGATTCAGGATGATGCCTGAGGCAGCCCCTGGTGGGGATTGGCAGTTTAGGAAACTGCTTTGCTCTTTGCACCTCCAGGTAGTGTGTTCCTGCCGCTCAGCTTGGGGAGCTGCTCTTCCTCCTTCTCACTACCCAAACAGACTTGAGCATGATCCCTACCCTCTAGCTCAGCTCTCAGAACACTTTAAGAACTGATAATTTATTTATTCATTTTGCATAAACTGTGCTCTCATCTGTCTAGTTAAAGTTGTTTAAAACTTCTGTGTCTTTTCTCACCCAATGAGCACACAAAACTCTCTCCTGTTCAGAATCCAGAGAGAAAATAAGAGATGCATCTTGGTGCAATGGGTGGCTTAGCTTTGGTTTGGTTTAGAAGCAATTGCATTTCAAGCTACTTTAACATCATCTTAATATTTTTATTTTTTAGTTGCGAGGCCTGACAATGGCACTGAATGAGCACTGCCTTCAAGCCTCCTTCCTGTAAATGATAGGACCAAACAAGGCGGTGTGATGAACATGCCACTGCATCAAATCTCTGTCATTCCAGCTCAGGATGTTACCTCTTCCAGAGTCTCCAGGAGCAAGACCAAAGACAAAGAGGAACAGGTACTGTCAGATATGCTTGATATTCACAGGAAATTATCAAAGCCTAAAATGATAGGGGTTATCAAATCAGACCTGATTCTGTTCCAAGGCCCCAACTCCTTGCATGACTGCTGCTTTTAGTGAGGATGAATGCTACCAAATTATCTTTATTCTCATGTTTGGTATTTTAAACCAGCTGGCTGCAAAATTCTAGAGATTGTTGTTGAGTAACTTCTGCAAAATGCAAGCTACAACCTTCTGTTTTGCATAAGAATTCAAGGCAGATAGGGATTTGGATGACGGCTCCAGTACAGTCGTCATGGAAACTGTTACAGGTGTATTTAATGAAAAATGATATGGGATGTGAACCCCTCTATGTGGCCATGCATCCTGTTTTCCTTTGCTCTTGGTAGCATGTAGTAGTTGTGTATAGTAACTGGAATATCACAAGGAAGGATGTATACGTCCATATGTGTAGGTACTGTACTGCTTTATGGAATGTAATTTGTATTCTTGGGAGCATGTGTGTGAGTGGAATCAATCTGAGGTCTTGTTGTGGTGTTAATGAGGACTGGAATGCAAAAATAGCTGACGTATCTAATTAGTAAGTCCAACAGAATCCAATTAATAGCTACTTAACAGTTTTTAATTGCATACTGTATCTAGTCTTTATGTGTCAACATTATGCCTGGACTGTATCTGTGAGCTGGCCCAAAGACCTTAATGTGCATCATGCTTTAGTGTACACTGTACTGCATTGAATTTTACACTCTGTCAGTTCCACAGAAACCTCTTTGTGTTTTTTTAGCTTTTACACAAAATCAGGTCAAGAGAACATTCACATTATGGCACAACTGCAGGGTTTGCTTTGTAGGGTGCTCAGCAGTGGTTGATTCTGAGGAGATCTAGGGTGATGCTGATTACAGATAGGGCATAGCTTAAGTATGAGGGACTAGAAAGGCACTGTCATGTTACAGAAAGGGATTCACCAAGACTGAGTAGGGTAAAAGAGTTGCTTCTGATTTCCTGGGATCATTTGCCCTGACTACCCTTCTCCCCTGTCAGCTGTCCTGATTGCGCCTACCAAAGTCACTGGTGAGTCAGTAGAAATAAATTGTCCCATTGTTGTGTTTTTTGGTGGTCTTCTTAGTAACATTCTAAAATGGATTCAGGCCTTCAGATTCTTAAGCCAGTAATTAATTAGGCTGGCACACTGCTGCTTTTTGGTTGCCAGAACTAGGCAAGAAGTTATTTTCACAGAGGAGGTGCTCTAAATCCATAAAGCACCTTGTCTCAGGAGTCTGCTGGAATCTCTCACTTCCCACCTGTCACACATACTTGCTGTCTGCGCACCTCTTTATGTAAGAGGGCTCTGCCATTTCTTCCCTGTGGTCCCCTATAGAAACTGTATGTGCTGAGGGAGTGAAACCAAATGTGGGGCAGTGCTGTGAATTTATTGCCCTGCCCTAGGCTGATGGAGATTCGGAGGCAGATCAGAACCACTTGTGGTTCCTCTGACCATGCAGTGAGCCCAGAAGTGGGAGTCCCAACTTTCTTAAACATATTTTTCATTTCTGACACAGTGACTTCAGTGTTGACAAATCTCCCCTGTGTTTCCTTCATGGTGACTAGTTGAAATGCTGATTATTGTTTGCCTTGCCATGTTGTTGTTTTATTTTCATGCCTTAGGATGTTAGAAACAGAACAGAATACTTGTTTAAATATGTGCCATATTGCAGAGAAAGTTAGATCATGCAAGCAATAGATTAGGCTAACCTGGAAACACTTCATGTTTCGCAAGTCTTGTCCTTCCTGTCTCTGTCAGCATATTCATTCATCCCCCCCAGTGTCCTGCATTCTGCCAAAACTACAACTGGAACAGCTGGAGCTCTGGGTGAACTGCCTGCTGTCCTTGGGGCACAGCTGTGCTGACACTGTGGCTGCTCCTGTGCACACGAGCCACAGCCTGGCGCTTGTATGCTCTTCCCTGCTCTTGCAAACTGCATTTCTTGTGGTGTTAACCTCTAATGCTGGATCTAATGAATGAGCTGGAGGGCAGTCAGATTGGTAATGTGCTGACTTTGACCAATCCAGTTAAATTTTCAGTATTGCATCAGTTGGGATGTTCAAGGCTATTTGCTAGTCAGAGTCCCTGTCAGCTGTTGGGTGCCATCAGGACCCACTGGCCATGACTCTGAGTTTTGCTTATACTTAAAGAAGACAGTAAAGGGGAGATGGGATGCAAGAGAAAAGAAATTCTAGATTATCCTTGTCATGTTTTAATCACTTCAAACTGCCTCTTTTCTGTGGAAATAGCACCCACTCCAAGACAAAGAGCAGCATGCAAAGTGAGTATGATCCTGTGTTGAGCAAACGTGCTGAGCTTGCAGTTATTTCGTTGTGTTGTGGATGGTCTAGTCAGTTCTCACTTATGTCTGCAAAAGCATAAAACAATTTTTCAGAAGCCAGTACAACATTTCACAGTTTGATCCAAGTGCCATGACTTTCTTACCTTACCTTTACTATGTCATAAGAATAGTAAATTCCTTACCTCTTCTGTGCAGAAATAATAAGCACCGCAAACTACACCATGTTCTTACAATATTTTGAGTTGTACAAAGCCACTTGCCAATCTGAACAAAATCAAGCAAACCCCAAACCACAATCAAAACCAATAGTACTACTTCAAAGATAAATATGTAGGCTTGTTTTGTAATACCAAACTTAGACCAAGTACTTTGTCAGGAGTGTGTTTTGTAGATTGAGCAGACTCATGTGCGTATCTTCCCTGTTAATCAACAAGCTCTGGCTAAAGCCAAGGTGAATAAATGTAGAGTGTCAACTAGCAGATGAAATTTTGTCCTGCTTCCATTCTTGCCATTTTAAACTAGACCTTTGGCTTGTCTGTACCTATATCTTGCATTGTAATAAGTCTTTTGGAGGAAAGGCTCAAGACACACAGCAACAAAAAATGAAGTACCAGTGTGCTCAGAGAGAGAACTTCATCAGTCTGAAAAATCAGTAGTCATCCTATTCCCCAGAACATGCTTTATAATGTGTTCTGTTATCTTTTATGATTGTGGGTATGTTTAATTATCCACAGTTGCAGTAGAAGTGCAGAGGAAGCACTCTCAATCTGAACAGTACAGATGCCTTATTTTTTATCTTCCATGGTTCTGGTCAAGATGTAGCTTGTGTATTTCAGGTTAAGGCATGGTTTTATTAATAGTTTTCCTGGCTACAAGAGCAAGTTTTCTGGGCTAGTGATTTGTGACTAGCAGTGAAGAACAGCAAGAAATCCTTATCACTTTTATCATTACAACCCAGTATCTCCAATTGAAATATGCCTCCTGGCAGATTTCAATACCTGTGGAGGTCTGTGGCAAAAATCCTATTCAATTTCAAGAGATGGTAAGAAGAAAATCTTTGTCTCCTACTTCTGGTCTGAGTCCTCAGTGATATGTGTACTAGTTAGAAAAATTAGCTGCTTTTCCAGATTCAAAGTAGCTGAAATCTGAGGTTTACAGCAGGTTTCATGAAAGTTTGTCCATTTCCCCAGTGAAAACAAGGAAGGTCATAAAGGGATTATTACTCTTGCATTTAACTCAGATGAACTGATAGCTTTAAGGGCTATTAATAACCATCATTAGCTTCTTACTTATCCTTCACTAGGAATAACTTCATACTTACCTGATTTAAGGGAGAGTCACTCTTGTTTGTAAGAAGCTACAATTCCCCTTGCCCCCGTTCAGTGAGTAATATGCTGGTAGCAGTGTTTCCTAATGTCTGCCAAAGCTAACAGCTCTCAGGATTTGGACAGGAAATGAGGAATCAATGCTGGCATGTGGTTGAGGTGGTGTTCTGGGCTTGTTTTGTTACAGCATTGCCTTTTTGAGGGCTTTGTGCCTCGCTCACTGAGGTGGACTAATGTCTACCACAAGTTGTTAGTAAAGGTTATTACAGTGAGTGAAGCTCACTGGGCAATAGCTTTTCACTGCTCTTCTAAAAATGTGTAACAACTGTGGCCTCCCCTGTGCTGTGATCTCTGCAGATCTCATAAGCGGATCAGGGGTGGATGGGATCAGTGTTTGAATGGGAGATCATGAGATGTTGGTGCGAGTCACTTTTATGTGCAGTGGTCTTTCTTCTCAATGGCCTGAACCTGGGAGTCAGTACTGAGTTGTCATCAAAGATCACATAGCATTTGTCACAGAAGCAAATGAATGTTCGAGTCAAATTTAAACTTGCTAATTCCACTCGATTGACTGAAGCTCCCTTCTGTTCTCTTCTCTTGTCTCCTGAGTGCTGTGTAGTAATACTGGCTGTTATGTGCTCAGCAGAGATGCTGTGATAATCTCTGGCATCTCCAGGTGCTTCTCAAAGCTGTCATCTTGGAGATGCTGACTACCTAATTTGTCTGGATGAAATTATGATGAGAGAAGTACATTGTGCTGCATCTTCCTAAATTTTTTCTGCCTTCTTAATGATCTCTTGCATCCTGTAACAGGAAAGGCACTGTGGCCTATTGATTGAAATAAGCCACATCTTACTGGAAAAGCAGGGCTTACTGGAAGGAAAAAAAATGCAATAGATGCATTTGCAAGACTTTTCAGTCATAGATCAGTAGCTGAAGATAAAGGTACATGCTTTACGTTGTTGAATCCAGAGTGACACTTTGAGAGCTATTGTGTTGTTTTCAAGGTATAGAAGCACCCTGTGACCTTTTCCATTCACTTTTTGGACTTTGAGCTGTGAATGTGGTCTCTGAGTGGCTGAGCTTAGTCCAAATACTCAGGCATTTGTAAGACTGTGTGTGTGTGTTTGGTTTTGCTTGCCCATTGAACCAAATCATTCATTAAGCAGCCAGGCTGCAAATCCTTTGAGAATTTTACCCCTTATTGTTTTTGTACTGTGGTTTGTGTGTTTATGTGTAGCTATGTCATATATTAATACTGGGTCTGGCAATTTTCCTTTATTAGATTTGCTTTGAATAGAAACAGGTTAACTATGGAAAAACTTTT